AGTGATACCATTTTCATAATGAAAATTTATGTAACTCTCAATACTTGGAACCCTGCGGATTTCTATCTCACAATTTTTCATTACATTATAACTTTTGTTAATTTTTTCTTTTTCTCCACTTTCATTCATACTGTAATGTCTTCCAGCAACAGATGCAATTTTGCCAAAACCCACCTCGCTTATGCACTCTCTCAGTGTATCTATATACACTTGACATGACCTAGGTTCTACATCCACACCGTCTGCTATACAGTGTATGTAGAGTTCCTTGCATCTATCTTTACAATTCACAATTAGTGGTTTTAGGTGGTCTATATGGGAATGAACACCACCATCACTCACCAACCCTATCAGATGAATCTTTACTTTGTGTTTCAGCTCAACCCTGTCTAGATACACTCCCATCCTCCCCTCAGCTATAACCTTGTTAATTCTAGTTATACTCTGATCAATTACTCTTCCAGCACTTTCATACAACTGGATCTAACTTTCTTTGTATCCCTCATTTCAACCCATTTGTAATGGTAAAGTGTTGTACATACAGAGATATAGGTAAGATTAAGGATAGAAACACAGTGTTTAGCAACTATAGCTTTATTTAGTGAGTGGTGCTACACTTCATTGCTGTAACTCATAATCAACGAATATCCTCTTGGGTTTAACTTTAAACCAATGAATTAAGGTACTCAAAAAATTAGATTCACATCTTTCAATGTGTAACTCGTCTAACCCTATCTCACACTTGGATGAATTTATAATTGGCAGCTTGTAACCTATAGAACAATTTATAAACTCTAATTTTCTTAAGTTCCTACAGGATGACAAACTAATGATATCAAACACTGTTAACTTGGAATGTATAATACTCAGATCGCTCAACTTCTCCACCAACCTTGTTGGTTTATCCTTAAAGCCCAACAAGAAAGACAGTGATCTCTCATATGTAGAATTGTTTACTTGTAGCTTATATAAAGAAGTTAATGAAAAGTTTTTTACATCATCAAAGATATGTTCACTTGAACCTCTAAAACCTAAACTTAATGTTGTCAGATTTGACAAATAATCAAATACATCCTCACTAGCTTGCAAATCAAGCCTTTCAATACGCTCCAAGTTCGCAATCACTAACCTTTCGAGCTTTTCTAATTTAGTGATAGCCTTTAGATCCTCTAAAGTAAGATAAAGCTCGGAAGACCATTTAAGTTCTATAACAAGGGACTTAAGAGTCTTTGTAATGTTACTACCCTCCTTAAATATCCTTGCTATTGGAAGATCAAACACATTGATGGTAAGTTCTTCTAGTTCTTCAAAATCTGACACAAGTGAAATATGATCAAGATATTGAGAAGTATACCAAAGACTTATAATAAATTCAACACTCAATTTTTTTAGCTTTTTTTGTAACTTTTTGTTTTTCAGTATCAGATCTAATGGACATTCTATCCCCTTTATCCGTAGCTGCTCTTTTAACATCTCGTTTTTCTGTATCAGATCTAATGGACATTCTATCTCCTTTAACACTAGCAGTTCTTCATCAACTCCTACACGAAAACAAATCTTATGACTTACCTTTATTTCCAATTCTTCGAGCTTTTCCAAGTGATTATTACTGTCATTGAAGAAGGTGCTTAAAACATCAAAGTATTCGGAATACAATCCAAGCTTTGTTAAATTCCGATATGACTTAGCTAGTATTCTCAGACTCTTCTTATTCCAAATTTCAAATCCTGTTATTTTCAATACTTTGAGGGTCTTCTGCAGCTTGCAGTTATCATATATAAATTGATGATATATCATCCCACGACAGTACATTTCATTGATGTAAAGTTCATCCAGCGAAAACTCAGACAACTCTTTAAAGCTATCTTCTTTTATGCAACCAACTGTAGTAATATCCAACACTTTCAAGCTTTGTTTCAACACATCACTTTTTACTATTACATCTATATAATTCAATGTAGTAACTTTAAGTTTAACTAACTCAAGGATGGATATGTATTCCAACTCTTTCTCTGATAATTCAACTTCCCTCACTTCAAGTGTGTCAACATAGCCAAAGTAATAGAAAACTCTAAGTTTTCTCCAAAAACTATTTATTGACTCTGTATCTTTGTTTCTAAGATGGGTCAGAACATGTGGTTCGATGATCAACCCCTTGTCCACACTTACTATAATCTCTTCGTTATCTCTTCTTATGTCTAGTACATCTACCTTTTTACCATCCTCACAAGTCTCACGAATTGTCAATTCAAATGAATCCAAAAGTGATTTAAGCAGCATTTTCATCATATTCTCTTTGAGAATCTTCTCATCTTCATTCACCAATTCATCATACTCTTTCTTCTTATCTTCATTTTCTGTAAATGTCACCATTTCATCTAAAAGCCTCTGGTACAACCTCCTCCTTCCACCTACAAACGGGAAAAAATCATAAAAAGTACGAAAGATATCAACTATGGGCACTTTCTTCAGACTTTCCCTGTTAAATTCCAGAATAAAATTAAGGACATCTTTTGATATCTTAGCTTTTATAGTTATCTCAGTTTCACCAAGCTCATAAGAACATACGTTTTCATCTCCAAAGTTAATTTCCATTGTTGTATCTTTACTCCTTCCACAAGCAAATTGTAGTAACATTGCAAGCACATATAACGACATCTATGGGTATCCTTTCTTCTCTTCTTTTATACTTTTTTTTTTATTTATGGAATACTTTTTAGTTCAAATAATACCATAAAGGATTGAATAAATTCAACAATAATACTATAAAAGATAGAGTTGTATAAATGATAAATTGCTTTCTTCTCTTTTTTTTATTTTTTTTTATTTATGGAATAGTTTTAGTTCAAATAATACCATAAAAGGTGATGTTGTATAAAATGATAAATTAGTTTTGGCATTTAAAATTTTTATTTTTTTGCAAATTTTTTATTCTTCTTGTGCCAATGTGTAGTTATAACATGAGTGTTTACATTTTAGATAAATACCATATAGTTGGCAACAGAAGATCAAGTAAAGGAGAACAGTAGCCAAGGAGAGCTATGTCAAGAAATAAGAAGATAACGAAAGAAGATGTAATGAACGAGATAATTGATAATTTCGATGACGAATTATCGAATTTATTTAAAGATATGGAAACATCACACAAAACTACTAAGGAGTTATAATAAACTGGAAGAAGGGCAGAGAGGGAAACAATAAAAAAGGAAGAAGGTCTAGTGAGATCAAAAAATTTCAAAAACATTGCTAAGCTATTGCAATGACCCAGAGAATGAAGGAAAGTGCAGAAGAGTTCATTGACGGAATAGAAAGGTTCACAGAGGAGAATGATAGTGCAGAAGACATTTCTATTGCAATGACAGTCAAAACATGAAGTACTAAGAATGGTGTTGAAAACCATGAAATAGCAAGTAGTTTAGAAGGGAAGTGAAAGTCAAAAGATTGGGTGCTAAACTAAGAAGTCCTACGGAGAGGACAAAAGAAAGGGGTTCGTCAAGAATAAGGAGAACCCAATAATAACAATAAAGAGCAAGACTTTAACTATTTACCTATTAATGGTGCTACTTCTCACAGACATCAAACCAAAGATAGACACTTCTGAGAAGATTGAAGATGACAAGACATCTGAAGAAATACAGAAGCAAGCACAAGAGGTTATCGAAGAAGAGGTATACCAGTACAAAATGTGTGATACAAACACACGAAGGTAGGATAGTTAAAGGATATGAAACCAGAATACCACCTGGTATCAAAGAAGAAAGTTTATTTCTAAACTCTTCCACTTTGCTATTCTCTATTTTGCTTTTAATTCTCTGTTCTAACAATCTCTCACACCCTATCTTTTTTAGCTCTTCTATGTTCTCTTCACTTAACGTACTGATCTCTACGTATTGCTTATCTCTTAGGAAATTGAATAACTCGTCTATCTCATGGATGGAAGTGGTACTCCCACCACTCACATTATCTCTACCGTTGGAAAGATCCCCTAGTCTCTTAAGATCACTCTTGGATAGGACAATGATAAAGCTATCGGAGAAGAGGGGAAGGAGTGAGTTGAAGAGATTTATCTGTTGGGTAATGGAGTACCCACATACCTCAGATATATCCATGAAATACAAAACTATGGAATTGATATGTGCTAGTGCAGTTATTGTTTGCATCTCAATTGTATTTCTTTCCTCTATCAAATGGTCTAAGATCCCAGGTGTGTCTATGACTTGGAACCTGAGGTAGCTGTAGTCAAACTGCCCAACATAGAGATTCTTAGTGGTGAAGGGATAGGGTTGCACGTCAACGTTGGCACGGGTTATCTTGTTGATGAAGGAAGATTTGCCAACATTGGGGAACCCACAGAGTAAAAAGGTACGAGTTGAAGGGTCTAGCTGTGGTATTCTACTCATGTGCTGTCTTACCTGCTCCAGATACTCGGTGGTTTTCTTTAGCTTTTTGACTATCGTAGCCATTCTACCCAGCGCTGCTCTCTTAAGCTGTTTACATCTGTAAAGATTGTTTCCATACTTGAGTAGCTTTACATACTCTAGATACATTCTCTACCATACACCTTGTAGTGTTGACATGTCTCAGAGCTAGTTTATAGTGATCTTTATCGTACAAAATATTTATTAGATCACAGTAGAAAGGATGGGTCTCTTCCAATCTCGGGAACTGTGAGGTGATTCTCTTCATCCGCTCTGAGAATTCGTTAGAAGCAAATTTTATCTTTTTGCTGTAGAAGGTTCGTATTTTCGTTATGTTAAACTGGAGATGTACTACTGTTGGTGTCTTTCTCTGTGTCTTATTTAGCACTATGTCTATCAGCTCGGTGTTTGATGGAACTGTTTGAATTGTTCTAAAGTTCGCTGCCATTTCAAAGGGAAGAGAGTTTTAGAGTGATTGGTTATTGGTGCTAGTAGAAGGATGTGTAGAGCTAGTGTTTTTATCTTTTCAACCCTCCTGCTACATCTTCTTATAATTTTAGTTCTTGGTACCTCCCCATGAAGATGGAACGAAAGAAAGTCTTAGCTCTTTCTAACAGAAAAGAGTTTCTAGAGACTTTGCGAGACATCTCAAGTCTTCGAGGAGATTGTACCGTAAAACTGGACAAGGAAAAGAAGAACTACTTTGACACTCCACCAAAGACAAGTGAATTGTTCATTTCTGTGAATGATAGGAAAAACGGAGATAAAATCTTAACAATGGGAAGATCCTTTGATGGAGAGTACTTGGAATTGATGGAATTTACAATCCTGGAGAGTAAACCAATAAAAGAAAGCAAGATGAAACCAGAGATCGGTGCTAAGTATTTCCTGGTGTTCCAAGGAGTAGATGATCCGAGAATTCAAAATTTTTTTATCGATTTTTTGAACTGTGGTGGTAAAGAGGTTTCTTTAGATTGTGTTTTGTATTCCTTTATAATTAGTAGAATAGGAGATACACTTTACACTGTGAAGTATGTCAAGATATTAGACAGTGGATTGGAAGAAGTGGGCCCATCCTTTCTTTTAGAATCCAAAAGGATGTACTTCTGTGATGAAGAGACATTTAAGAGGGCTTGCTACCAGGAAAGACCAAAGAAAGCTAGAAATGTCAAAAAGAACGAATTTAATGATAGAATTGGAAGGGTTCACATTGAAAAGCAGGACTTGAGAGATATCAGAATTAGGAAGAAGGGTGGGTATAAAGATATGGGTTAACAGAGATCCCATCTGTGCTAATCGATAGAAATAGATTCTTACAGCTCTTAGCAAATTGAACATCAAACCATCCCAAAAAGAGAGATAGAATGACTTAAAGGCTATAAATAAATATTACATTCTATCAACAGATACAACGCTTCTCATCCATTCAAGATATCTCCCATTTATACCCTTTAATTTATATTTAAGAATTTCGGGTACCTCGTAGGGATGGTTCTTTATAATCAACCTTTCTATTTTATCAAATAGAACATCAAAGGATTTGATAATCACTAAAATCTCATCGGAGTTTTCTATTTCCCCCTTCCAGATGTAACTTGATTTGATTTTTATCTGTTGACAACATGCCACTATCCTTTGAGCTAATAACTCGTTGATTATTTTCAACGCTTGGATCTTTTTTTTTTTTTTAAATGAAATCAACTTTATTTATTGATCCACTGCGCAACTAGCGCTGACCATGGGCTGTGCCCTTTGGTTCTAGGGAGAATTTTTGGTGGAGGGTGGTGAGGAGGTGGTACTGCACCTCATTACCGTCGTGGCTCCGTCAGAGACAGAACACACCAACTCATGCTGCGGCAGCAGCTTGCCGCCCCCTCCCCAGGAGCACCCAGCTTACTCACCACCGCCGGGTTTTGGGGGATCTACCACCTCGCCCGGGCTCGAACCCGGGTCCTCGGACCTGTGATCTTGAGGCCAGCCCACTCGGCTACTTGCCCCCCACGCTTGGATCTCATTTTTTACTGTGGTATGAATGAGAATGGCTTTCATTTCAGGGCGTATAACTGTGGGTGGGGTTAGTGCCAGTTGTTATACAACTTACCCTCTCAATTTTCATCATTTCCTCATCTATGACCCTTCACCAAGATGGTTCATTTACCTTAAGGAGTTAACTCACAATTTAGGTAGAAGGCGAGTTTTGGTATCCTAATGAAATTCAGGAAGGGATGGATCATAGGAAAGGTGCTAAATTTATTTTATTTTGGAATGGTGTTGGATATGAAAGGGGTGAGGTGTGTTAGGAAGAAGAACATACCCGTAAAAATTGGAAGGAAAGAGAGCGAATGTACGAACAGTACGGGGAATGTAGAGGAGTACGGTAGAACCAATAAAAACTCTCCAAGTTATGAGTCAGAAACGGTGTGGAATATATCTAGAACAGATATAAAGGTGAGTTCATGGTCAATTTGTAATAGAAATCTCTTGAGTGGTGGTGATGTATATGAGCTTTGTGAAGCTGTTAATTGTCTTTCAAATCACACTCCTTCATTATGCGAAGAGGAGGTGAGTAGAATGCAAGTACATCCACCCGTGAACAGAGATGTCTCTCTACAAATTTACTTTAAGAATGTAAACTTAGGGGGTCTACCAACCACTAGCTATGGCTTAGAAGAGGAGAGTGATTCATTAGAACGAATAAAAAGTGAAATAAAAATGTGGCTCTCACTTGATGAGTCAACATTACAGATGTTGATGAGTAGCATCAATGAGAGGGACAAGAGATTTTACAAGCTAAACTATGAGGAAATATTAAAAATCTTTGAGTTTGTAAGAAGTGAAGAGAAGAAGCACATCAACTTTATTTTTACCAAAGAGATGGTTGATACAATAAATGACATTATGGGGATGGTAATCAAAAAAACACTAAAATACTCAATGCTGTTGTATTTCAGGGAAATGATAAGATTTCCAGCATTTCTAGGAGAGAACTACAAAGTTGGGCTGGTAGAGTACCACTACACCAATCTCTTTGTTTTCTACTACTTACTTTCCAGAATGAAGGAGCACGACAATGAGTTGAGGTATAGAGATAAAAAGATTGATGGAGAGAGGAGTAATTACAATGCTAGACACACCTCTACGTTTGATAAAGACTTCCCCATATTCTATCTTTGTATCAGAGAGTTTCTCAGCTCCTTCAAAGATAAGACTTTCTACAACTTCTTCATTTACTGTTATGAGACTAAGAAAGGGAGTGGGAACTATAAAATCGGGGATGGTATCTATCTAGATAGTGATTTTCAGTTACGTAATGGGAAGAAGATCTCTAACAAGATCTTTACCTTCATTATCTTCGCTCTTGATAAGAGTACCCTAAAGGCAATGCAAGGTAACCTCAGAAACATTGTATCATGCCTTGGTAATGCAAAACGTACCTTTAAGGGAGTGAATTTGAGCGAAATCTTTGGTGTTTACCTCTCACTGTGTTCAGAGCTTGTAAGGATAGGTACCTCCCACACTAAAAAACAAAGGAAGTATCTAAGTGAGGTTACAATGGTACTACCCAAAATTGAGGAGCAATTTAATGCTTTTAAAGACTGTAGAAAGTCGGGTAGTATCTTTCTTGATCTTGCTTCGATACTCCAGAGGGTCTTTTACATAAAAATACTGCATGGTGGATATGTGGGACTGGGTACTACTAGTCTAAGCAAGGTAAGGAGTGTGGTATCACGGTATACCAATGATTGATCGTACAAGGGATACGTTCTTACCCCTCTTGCTCAGTGATGTGATTATAATTAAACCGTGTTATCGTGACAGTACTGAGACTATCTCACCACTCTCAATCTTTGGATCTTCTTTTGGAAACTACCTCTCTGCAGAGTAAGAATAGAAGAAGTGTGACAAATAACACACCAACAACAACAATTACTTTATTTCTTGTTCTTAATGACTGAGGGTCGGAAAAGCAAGCTTGTACCATTGAACCAAAGACTAGGATCTCACCTGTAAGTACCTTGTCCATGACCTTTACCATTTCATAGAAATCTAAGCTGTGGTACTCTTCTCCATCCAATCTCACAATAGCAACAGATCTTTTCACCTCTGTATCTCTAGATGTAACTAACCCACTCACACCATCCCTCATAACCTTTCCTACCCTTTCGCTTCTTTTCTCTGTATCTACAACTTGACCGTTAAAATACACCCTTTCAACAGGGCTCTTCTTGGAATCACACAGTACAAAGCTTAGGAGTGAATCTTCAGACACCAAGTGAAAACTCGTTACACCCCCAGATCTTAGATAAAACACTGCAACATATACAAATGTGGTCGATCTTTGACTTCTCTGTGCTGAGATAATCTGTCTCCTTATGATATCCACCGTGTTTTCATTTAACTCTAAGACGTCGTTATCATCGTCCTCTTGGATTAGATCCTGGTTCCTACACAGAGAAACCTTTAGTGGTAATGGATCTCTCATTACTAGCAGTAAATTTAATTTAATGGCTCTGATCCCTTTCCCTTTCTTTTAATTCTCCTTTACCCACTAAACCAACCAAAAGTGAAATACCACATCCTCAGAGAACATTAAAGCAAGGCTCATCCTTCTTCTTGGTACACTACTTCTTGTTAAAATGTAAATACTTCTCCCAAAAACACTTCCCGTTCTCTACATCTTCATTGATCTTCTTACCCACATCCTTCAAGACAATATCAAGAATTCTCTTACTGGCCCTTTTTATTGCTTCAATATCCCTTTCTCTTTCCATGTACTTCGCTCTTAGCTTCACTTCATAGATCTTCTTGAGATACATAAAAGAGACAAATCTACTCAACATAGCATCCACTTCTTTATCAACCACATCGTGTTTCTTCATGTGTTTGTTCAGTGCATCAGATCTGGTGTAAGCTTTCTCACATCTCACACACTTATAGGGCCTATAGCCGTGTGTTTTCTTACATGTGCTTGTAAAGAGTACTTTGAGACCTGCTTTTCACCATACCTGGAACAACTCTCCCATAGACACATAAAATCATCTTTCATTTGCTCTATGTGGTTATTCACGTGTCTTGTTATGTTCTCTACATCCTCTTCCGCACAACCTTTCCATTCACAATCCATGGTAAGAGAAGGAAGGGGGTGGCAGAAAGGTAGTGAAGTGAACATCTTAACATAGAAGAGTTAGGAGTATAGAAATTATAATTTCTTGGAAACGGTACTCTCGATGGGTCTGGAAGGTTGTGATAAGAAAGGGAGTATTAGACTTGAGTAGAAATTTAATTAGAGGAATGAGTAACAGACCCTCTTGTAAAGAGACATGCGACCGGGTGAACAAAACAGGACCATCAAAACACGCTTTAACATTCATCCATACATAGTGTCTCTCAACTGTCTCATTGCTGTATTCCTGGTGTAGCTCTGGATTTACAACAAAGCACCTCTCTGGTCTACACACTCCTTTGTACATCTACATTATCTCCAGACACACAACAATCTCAATGGCCTGTTCATACTTCAATAAATTACTCTACCATTTGCACCAATGTTAAGCCTCTCTTCCACCCTAAGGGTCTTGATGTTCACTCCTCAGACACCCATTGGTACAAGAGGGGAATAGGAAAATTTGCAAAAAAAAATAAAAATTTTAGACATCCAAAATGATCAATTTATCATTTTATATAATATTAACCTTTTATGGTATAATTACGAACTAAAAATTATTCCATAAATAAAAAAAATATAAAAAAAGAGAAAAAGCAATTTATCATTTTATACAACATCACTTTTTATGGTATTATTGTTGAATTAAAAAGTATTCCATAAATAAAAAAAAAGTATAAAAGAAGAGAAGAATGGATACCCATAGATGTTATACGTGTTTTTAGTGATATTAAAATTTGTGTGTGGAAGAAGTAAAGATACAACAATGGAAATTAATCTTAGAGATGAAAACGTATGTTCTTATGAGGTTAATAAAGCTAGGATGACGATAGAAGTTGAAATGCCAGAATGTGTCTTTAATTTTATTCTGGAATTGAACAAGGAAAGTCTGAAGGAAGTGCCCATAGTTGATATCTTTCGTACTTTTTGTGATCTTTTCCCTTTTGTAGGTGGAAGGAGGAGGTTGTACCAGAGGCTTTTAGATGAAATGGTGACATTTACAGAAAATGAAGATAAGAAGAAAGAGTATGATGAATTGGTGAGTGAAGATGAGAAGATTCTCAAAGAGAATATGATGGAAATGTTGCTTAAATCACTTTTGGATTCATTT